GAAACACAGCAACTGATTTTTAGCAGGTTATTTTCTGTCCCGCACAGCCTCTGGTGTTAGGCACTTAATAAAATTCCTTGATTTGTTACTAAAAAAGTTATCCTGAAAGAGAATTCCTTCTTTTAGTCCCAAAAACCAACCCCATGACTTTTCATTTTGTTACTGCCATTTTTATTGATCTAAGATGGAAGGAATAGGAGGTAAAAGTCTACAATCCCCTGGGGTAGGCATCTCTTAGGATCCCTGCTTGGATGTCCCACTGAAAACACATAGCTCAAGAGAGAGCTGACTCCAGTCAGTGAGGAATCTTCAAAGCCTGCCAGCCCCTCACTAGCTGGTTCCACCTAGCCGTACAGTTTGAAAAGAGAACCTCTGCTCAGCCTCTCTCTCTCTCTAGCCCACTGAGTTACTTACAAGGATCAGTGATGAGCAAGGTATACAAGAGATGGGATGTCCTGGCAAAGATGTCCTGAGCTCCAGCACCAGCCCCAAGAGGACAACATGAGTGGTTTCTATTTGCCAGAGCAGAATTGAAGAATTACAGAGCTAGAAAGAACCACGTAAAGCTATCCGATTGAGGGAGCTATGGGCCAGAAAGATCTTTACGTGCATGAAGTCACAAAGCATACTGCTGAGCAAAGCCAAGACTACAATTCAGTCATCACCCTCAGTCCAGTGCCCTTTGGACGGCCAGGCATTTATTTCAAAGTCAACCTTGAGAAACACATGTAGAGGCAGTACTGGTGACTGCCATCCACACACTCAGAGGGAACCAGTATGTCCACTTCCTGATGCTGTAATGTGTCAGAATAATCTTTGAAAATTCAACTCCTTAACCATTCATAAAAGGTTTTTCCCAATTTCTATCACCATTGGATAACATCATTAAGCCTCTTTATACAAAATCCAGTCAACCTGAATGTAGGACCATGACTCCTAATAAACTCTAGCATTTTCATAAATTTGGATATGTTGGAGGCTTAAAAAGAGAAAAGAGCTAATTTCTCTGTAGAGCTGATTTTAATTTGAAGTCATGGCAGCTGGTTGATTAGTTCACGTATTTTGCATTGCCTGCTAAAATGAGAAGCTACCCGAAACAAAAGGTATTGTCTATGCATTCTGTCTCCACACATTCCTGACTTGCTAGTCTTCCATGAAGGTCTTCCATGAAGAAGCTTAAATTTTCCTACGTATTTTGAGTTTTATGTTTCTTTCCATTAAAGTTTCCAGCCGTTCATGGACATATTTAGTTTGGCAGAAGGTAGTGGTGACTCATGGAATGAAGAAATTTGAAGGCAAAGCTACTGAAAAAGGATCTAATTTCTTTTTAGGGTAATTTGGGAGCAAGCGATTGATAATTTGTCTAATTTTTTCTGGTTTCATCAGCTGCCACACTGCCAAATATTTGTTCCATATGGATGCTTTGTTATTCCTGAAACATATAACACATTTCAGCGGCAACTTTATCTAGTATGGTCAAGGGGAAAGACTATTGTTGGCTCTTTGTCTCATTGTTTTTGGCTGGACACCCTCAATCAATGGCTATTGAGTGAAAAAACAGGATCAACTTGAAAGCTTTTCAGCATGTTCCTTCCTATGGATCCAACCATTTCACTGAGTTTGTGGAGCATGGCAAATGCTCCTTGTTAAAGGGAAGACTATGTTTTCGGTATAGATGCAACTTCCAGTTAAATGTGTCCACCTCATAATTCCACTCTCTCAATTTTGGTGTAGAGATGATTCTGGCTTTCCAAAAATTCCTTCCTTCCTCTCTGTTGATTCTTGCCTCCCAGTATGGAACAGATATTTGGCCATAAATTCTGAGATGATCAATGACACACTCATACAGTACGTATCCTTTCAGATTTCCTTTAGGATAGACAGTCCTTGTGTCGTAAGTCCTATGAATAAGCTTTCTAAAAGGCCATAAGTCTGGCTGGCATTTTAGGAGATTATTAGTGCTTTGCATACAGTTATGGAAATCTCCCTTACCAAATAAGCCAGACAAGAGTTCAGTAACTCCACATAAGCACCGGGAGGTGTAAGCTAAAGACCTGGGAAGACTCACTTCTGGGTTATTCTGAAGTAGGCACTGCCACTCAGTCTTAAAGTTATTCAGTGGATAATTGGCTTCAATGTAAATGATTTTGATCCCACCATCACCACTACCACCAGGTAAAAAACAACAGCAATCTTAAAGAAGGAAGAAGGATTTCACTCAGAAGAAACCAGATTTGACTGATGATTAGAGAGAGTACTTCATGGCAAGAAACAGTCTCTTGTTTCTAATGAGCGAATTTCGTTTGATTGACAAACATTCTAAGAGGCACGTGTCAAGGTTGCACAGTGGGTGAAGATGGAGCTAGACCTCACTACTCAGCAGCCTGTGAGCTTACTAGAAATGCAGAATCAGGCTCCCAGACTCCAAAACAATTTAAAAAAAACTTGTGTTTTAACTAGATACCAGAGGATTTGTATACACGTTAGAGTCTGAGAAGCCTTGCTCCAGAGATCAATTGGTAACACTGATACAATAAAAGAGACAATGGAAAATAGAGTTCAGTGGACATGCTGAAGATTTGAACAATAAAGTCGGGGCCCAACCTGCTTGTGGCCATTAACACTATAGGGTAATTTTCCCCCAGTTCCCTCAAGTTGTGGAACCTGTCCTCCTCGGACAGAGAACGGCTCCAAGGATAACTCCATGGCCTGACTTTTTGTGAACCGGAAATTGGAACTCCTAATTGCTGTGGCTGCAATTTCCAAACCCTTCACTGAAGCCAGAAACTCAGCTCTACTCCGCTAGGTCTTGCCAATTTCTTTTTCAATAACCACATTTTTCAAGAATGGACAAGGAAGATTGCTTCAGATAGATAGATGACAGATAGATGATAGATAGATAGATAGATAGATAGATAGATAGATAGATAGATAGATGGATTGATTTCCAATTGCATGAAGTGGACCAATGTGTTTTACTCATTTCGTGTTGCTTCTTATGTCTTCCTGTGTCATACTCAGCCAAGCTCTGTTATGATTTCTTAAGTGTCTGTGTTGATTAGCTCCATTTGGGTTTCTACTGGATTTAAAATAAATGGTTTCAAGATAAGAAAAGTATATTTTGTCACCAATTGGGAAGTGAAGGATAATTTTAAAACTGCTTTGCAAAGATACATTGCTGGTTTCCAGTCTTCACTAGACCCATTCTAGAACAGGAGAGGCTCTCCCACCTGAGCCCATTCATGAAGGAGCAGGTAACTGCAGGATGGGCTTCTCCAGGACATTATCCTACAGCAGAGCAGCTGAATGTGAGCACCAGACAGCTTGTGACTTCTGTGCTTTGAGATGGCACCAGGAAAAAAGGAGGGCTTTGAATTGGACAGGTAGAGAATCTTGGATTTACCCAGAACTCTACTGCTAAATAACTTGATAAATTTAGCGCTTATATTAAAGTAAACCAGATATTCTGCCTCACCCACACACTAGGTTCGTCACTGCTAGCTGATGAATAAGATACAAATTGCAGAATTCTATAGCTTTCCTCTAACACATCAAGGGTTCAACTCAACTAGAATATAAAAGATAATCAAATCCTTCCTGTGAAGGAAGAACCCAGATCTGAAAAAACAAGTATTCAAGAATTTAGAGATCATCAAACGGATATTTCTTCAAGAGCAAGTGGAGTTTTTAGCTAGTGACCTTACAAACAGCAAAGACCAGGTTCCCAGCCAAGGCTGTAGACAGTTTCTGCAATCACTCCAAGTGTCTGGGACAGTCGAGACCAGCAAACCCAACTCCTTAGACAGAGCAAGCTGCAGCATCTTAGTTTGTTTGCATCAAGATCCCAAACAGCTGTAACCCATTCACGGGAAGATTACACACATGTCCCTCCTTCCAGTCCCCCCAGTATCGAGGTCCTGCCCCTCACTCACCAAAACAGCCTCTGCAGCGCTCGCTCTGCCCAGTCTTGCTTAGCACCAGCCATCCCACCCGTGAGATTGCTCTTTCTCAAACACAGCTCTCATCACTTAATTGCTCTTCTAAAGAGCAGCCAGTCACCATCCATGGCTGAATAAATTGCGTAGAAACTCCTCCATTTGACAGCAAGGGATATAATGGAAGTCTCTAGCTGACTTTCCGATTGCATTTCCTAACATTTCCATACAGCAGAGCTCACAGCCTGGCAGCCTGTAAGTCATATCCAGTCTTTCTAAGTATTTTGTTTGGCAAATAGAGTGTTTTTTATAAAAATTTGAGCCATCTGCCAATATTTGCTAAATGACTTTTTGCTTCATACTGGCACATGCTTTCTGCTGTACCAAAACCCCCACCGCTCCCCACTGCCTTACTTACCCTGGCCCACCTCACTGCCTTAGGTCACTTGCTTTATGCATCAAGTCACTGACTCAGTTTACTGCAAGGTGACAAATGCTCCTTGCGTACTCCAACATTCATCCGAGATGACTTATTACCGCATGTTGTGTTTCCTTGGACTTCCCTCCTGCTCTCTCAAATGTCACCTCCTCTGTAAAATCTTCTACCAGATGTCAACTCTCTCCTCAGAGAGAAGAAAGCAATAATAGGTTCTTAAAGCACTTCTGATCTGTTCTATTTGGTGTTTGTTTGGTGAGTGTTCGTGCCTCATACCATCTGCTTAACCGTAAGCGCTGTGAAGGTGAGGGCTGTGTTATTCATCTCTGTAAGATCCCCTCACTCCCTGCATACAGCAGAGCGAATGCCTGTGTGGAATTCACTAAGGTATCCATTTCTCCCTGGACTTGCAGGCCCACATCAGTGGTGTGCGTCCATAAGAAAGCAGTAACTCATTTGAAATGTAGACATGGCTGAGTTGGAAGCCCCGGTGGACTTTTCAGCCTTTTTCAAATCGAGAGTGAGAAATGCTGTAGCTCAAGGAAACTACTGAGGGGATTCAGGTAAACAGAATACCATACTTCTTGTTGGAAGCTGGCTGTGATCTCCAGATTAAAACCACTGCGTACCTCACAAGGAGCATCTGCAGATCCTTCAGGACACTCAGCGTGTGTTAGATTTCCAGGACTTGATCCATTCCTGGGCCCCACAGGAGCAGTGAAATGAGCCAGGTAGAGCACAAATACCTGCAGACAAATAAAAATGCAAAGGGCTCTGCCTGCTACCTTCAAAACCATCTATTTCGAAAGTTTCTGAGTACCTAGAAAGGAGCTCTCATTCCTGTGTGCATCAGCAGAAAGGCTATCACTGAGCCCGAAGGTTATAGACTCAAATTTCGAACTTAATGGATCCAACTTAATGAATTTTGATTGGAATGATCACTTGTAAAATACTGACCAAAGAGAAAAAATGTTACTCTATTGAAATGTAATTAAACTCAGCAGTGTTGTATGGATGACAGTATACCTAGGCAGTACTAGAAACCAAGAAAAAGCTAAAATAAGCAAAAGAGACATAAATATTAATGAGTACCTACCATGGTCCCAAGGAAAAATATAAAAGCCCCAAGGTCCTTCTATCTGCTTAAGAAAGCAGTCCTGCTGGGGATTTAGCTCAGTGATTCCGCTGCCTGCCTCCCAAGTGCAAGGTCCCGAGTTCAATCCCCGGTACCAAAGAAAAAAAGGAAGGGGTCCTTACTCATATGTAGGAATGATCATCCTACATACCATTCAAGGAAATAATAATATATCAAATGGTATTTTTTTCCTCCTGGACATAGAAGATTTTCAAACATGTTTACTGAATTTCCAATGAGTACCAAGCATTTTCATTCTCTCTTTATACGCAGTCTTGTAAGGTCTTCTATGGAGGTCTAAAAATAAGGTGGACTTTATCACCTTCATGCCCTCTGTCTCCCTGGGCCCTCACTCTGCAGCCTGAGGGGGCCAGAAATACTGTGTGGACAAGCTGGTTTGACCTTGAGTTGATAGAAAATTCATTTTTTTAAAAAAAAAAATTCCTCCTCTTGTGAAGTTCGAGGCCATTCTTTCCAACTCAAATTCAGTGATGCATCCAAATTCTACCTGGAGCCATGAGCTCCACCTCACACCCAACCTCCACACCCCCTGGTGCACACAGGGCCAGAGACAGAGAACATGGCCATCTTTGGTTCCTTTGCTTTCAGCCCCAGGATTCCTCAAAGCAGCTTGTTCTGAAGTAGGCAAAAATCCAACTGTGAGTGCCTGGACACTTTGCAGTTGTGTTTATTTTCCTGGTAGAAATACTACTTTGAGTAGCAGCAAGCGCTTTGGCTCTGGGTTGGGGACACCTGCACGCCCTGCTGAGAGTGCCTGGAATGAGCCGGTCGGTCATGAGCTGTGAACCTCTGGGAAATTCTCTCCTTCGTAAAATGTGTACATTTGTGCCTGCCTGCCTACCAGAAGAAGCTTTTGTGGGAATAGGATAGGGCAATACCTGTGGAGTCGTCACAGAATTCTCAGAAAATCAAGGCCCAGCACATGTTTCTAGAGATGATTTGAGCGTGGAGCTGTGAGAAGTGGAGAGCTGGGCTAGAACGTCTTCAGAAGATGACAGTGGGTGGCCACGGTGGCACCCACTCGCCTTCCTCTGAGTGTACGGACGGCCACTGCTTTTCTGGGTCAAACATGACTTCTGTGGACCAGAAGGACTAGGGCTAAAGCAGGAGGCGTGCATGATCAGGAGCAGGGGTAGGAGGTTAATTAAATTCAGCTCCTGGGCAACTGAAGTGATGAAGGCTGTCCCTGGAACACCGCTGGTTGCTCCAAAAAGTAGGCTTTTGTTTCAGGGAAAATCTCCCGCGGAGAAACATGGAACGCCAAAGAGAACTATAAATAGGACTATCATTTATGTCAATTATAAATAGATTTGTTCCCTTCTGATTAGAAGATTAATGCTAGCTGAAAGTCTGTAGTTGAATAGGAATAAGAGAAGGACTCCTGACAAAATATTATTACGTACTCACAGTCAGAGTTGATGCCTTTTCCCTCCCGAGGCATTTTCTCTGACTTCCTCTAACTGAAGACGTTCTTCATTTGAAGTTAGCATTCAGCGCTGCCTTGGACGCACACTTGCTTATACTTCATCGCCCTGCAGCGTCTCTCGTTGCCTTCCACATTAGAGAACACACATAAATACACACCTCTTTCTTGAAATGGAAAAACCGAATAAAGCAAATGACAGTGTTAGGCACTCAAAAGAGAGCAAAGCAGCTTTCCCCCAGTGTCCCCAAGATGGTCACGTGTCCCACGACAGCAGGTTTTTTTATGTGTAGGGTGGATTTGTAGTAAACATGTGAGCAGTGAGCATAGCGAGCAAAGGCATCAAGGAAACTACCAGTAGCGGGGAGCCCATGTCCCATTGGGTGCTGCTGTGAGCACATCAGACATGGAATCTTTGTTCCAGCACCTAGAGAGACCTCAGTTCTTCAGGTCTGGTTAGCCAACTCCTTGTTCTCTGCTCATGTCCATGATTCATCTCCTCCTAGGGCCAGGGAGAGAAGTAGCAGCTCCCCATCGGAGCTGTCTGCTAGGTTCGTCCTGGGACAAGAGGTTGGGGACAGAGCGGCAGGGTGCCTCTGTCCTGTACAGCACCATGGAATACAACGGAATGTGTGTCTCCTCCCTGCTAGGATGAGGAGACCGGACGTCTTGCCTGAGTCTGCTCACCTTGTCCCTGGAGGCTTTCAACTAGCCCAGTCTTGGCCTCAAGGAAGAGGCTGTAGGTGACGACTGGGGAAAGAGCCGATGAAATGGGTGGGGACCTTTCTTGGAAGCTCCTCTCCCACCTGAAATGTTTTATCCTATTTTCACTGTGGGATATTTTTAAATAACTTGAATTTGTCAACTGGAACCTGAGATTCAGGGGCAATTTCTGGAAAAGCACAGGGGTTCAGAAAGCCTGAGTCCCAGTACATAAAGAAATATATTAAATATTTTTAAAGATATAAAATTCTTAGAACCATTGGACAGGTTGCTGTGGGTGACCGCTCTCTTCCCAGTGGCATTGCTCAACAGCCCAGCGCCCACCTGAAGGCTGACATCATGTCGTTGTGCAGCTCTCAGCCCTAGCAATGTCACTTTGCAGATTCCACGTGCTGTGCATTCCTCTACAGCGAAGCTGGGTGCCTTTAAGTTTTGAGTCAGAAGTTCTAAGCAGGATCGTTCCCCTGAAACCTGAGCCCTTCATTCCTCTAAGAAGTCAAAATGCATTTGGATCTTGCAAATTGAAGATGTCAGAGCCAGTATTTTCCTCTTTAATCAAAACCCAAGAATGGCACAGTGGGTGGCTGGGGCCTTCCTTCCTTTCCCTTCCTTCCCTTCCCCCACACTCCCAGCCAAGACTCTCAGGCTGGGGAGCCCTGACCCAGCAAAGCAGCTCAGGCCTCCTGTGGTCATCTCTGAATCTCTCTGCCAAGCACCACACTCATGGCGACTCTGGCACAGTGGGACGTGGAGACGAGAGCCTGAGAACACCAATTGGTTCCCTGACTGGTAGGCAAACAGGAGACAGGAGCCACTTCCTCACCACTGTGTCCCTAGCGAAATACTTGGGGCTCTGCACCAGCCTGACTCTGTCAGCGCCTGAGTCAGTTGACCCCTGGATGAGGAATCTTCCATCTCTGGTAGGTCATTTCCCTAGCACCATCTATGAGCAATTTTCAAAATTGAAGAAATGAGGCCCTCTTCTATTCTTAAACAGATTGGCCTAGAATGTTCTTGGGAACATCATAGAGAGCAGCAAGTCCTGGCTTATTCTCAAAGGTGGCAGTGGCCTTCAGACTCCAATAAGTCAAACACTGGCACATGCAGGTGACCCGCTGATGTTAGTGTTTATCTTGTTCCTTCTGTGCTGCTGTCATCTTTCAGGGAAATCTAGGAATAGCAGGAAGATGAATCTGCCCTTTCCCCTGCTGTGCCTTTTCCCCTTTTCTGGAGGTTGGTGGTAGGCTTGATTCATGGCAAGCTGCCAAAAGAGAGCTTCCAGCAGCTATCACAACACCTGGGCAGTGCAGGGAGGCGCTCACATTTGTCTGGAATGCAACCATGTTTGAGGTAGACCTGAAGTAGGTAGAATTTTGATAGGAGGAAAGATTCACGTAGAGAGGCTAACTCAGTGGAACACAAAATGTGGAGAATGTTTGCAAGCACATGAGACATCCAGCCAGTTGTTTGGGTTCTGTATTAGTGGACAGCAGCACAAGATAAGCCAGAAAGATAGGTTGGCACAACATTTATTCTGAAGAATAATAATAGCTAGCACTTTCTGAGCTCCTATTATATGCATGACCTTCCCAAGCACTTACATGTATTACCAGTTTATTTTTCCACTTCACAAGTGTGGCCACTGGGGCATAGAGAAGCGCGTTATATGCCCAAGGACACTCACCTTCTAAGTGTGACAACGAGGACACCAACCCAAGCACTCTGGTACTCAGTAACCTTGACGGCAACCTCCCCAAAGTGTTCTTTTATCCTCTGTACCCTCTTCCACTTCCTCTTCCCTCACCTGGAAATGTGGGCCACCTCCGAGGCCAGCCTGTCTGCTCCTTCCTTAGCGTCTCCTCTTATTCCTTTTGCAAGAATCTGCCTTTGCACGCTCCAGGAGTCTCTTCACTAGTGCACACGGTCATTGCCCAGCCTTATTGGCACCAGAGTCAAATGTGTGCTCATTCGTGAACTTCTTCAGGCCACAGCTGATATCATGTTCCTCTTTATCACCTCAGAACCTAGGACAGTGCTGTGCACGTAGAAAGTGCTCAATTAAACATTGCCTGAATTGGATTGAATACCAAGGGCCTCAGCTTGAGGCCTAAGGAAATGTTCCCTACTCTTAACCGTGTGTTTTTGGGATTATCTTCCCAAATTCAAGACAAAACCAAAGAAATAAAATTTTTTTTAAAAAACTAAGAAATGCTGAGCCTTACAAGGTTCACTCCCACTCCTAAAAACCAACAACCCATAAAAAACAGTTTGCAAAAGCACAATGTAGACAACCCCAGGCCACAGACCAACTCCAGCATTCCAGGCTTAGCCATGCTTGGCTGCAAAAGAACGCTCAAGCCCACAGTGGCCCTACAGGCAAAAATGCAGCAACACGTGGACACTTGCAATGCCCAGGGCTGTGGGGCTCCAGGATTTCTGAGAAGGCTCCCTGCATCCCAATAAAGTTCTCAGCTACTCAACCCCAAACCCGACTCCCTGAGGGAGATTCAGAAACACCCGGTTTAATTTAAACCTCTTCTTTTCACGTTGAAGTCACAAGTTTTCAGAGAGTACAATGTGTTGCTAACCCAGCATTTTCCAGACTAGACTGCTCAGCAAGGCAGGTGCTGCTTTCTTTTTAGGGTCCATGTCCTTAAGTTATTTTGCTGCACAAATATCTCCAAGGGCCCAATTTCTGCAACAGATTCCAGCCCAAGCGGCTCCTCCCTCTCTCTCTTTCTCTCTCTCTCTCTCTCATCTTTTCTGGGCCAGATTTTTCTTTCTCCCATAGGTGAGGTTAGTCAGGAGGAAAATAGTCATCTTTGTTTAAAGTGTACTTGTAATATTTTTCATTAGTTATCTCCAAACTGAGAGAGTCAATCCCAACCATAAGAACAGCACTGCACATTCTGGAAGGTCTCACAAGCCTGTAGAAAGGCTGCCAGTGGTCTCATTGACAAGACCAACCTGATCTAGTTTGACTGTCACGTATGTGCAAGGTTGAGAGCTATAATGTGATTGGTAGTTTCGTAGATAGGCATTGAGCATCTTTGTATAGCAGGCCTGCTAGCAGGTGCTGAGGGCAATGCTGAACTGAACCTGTCTTAGGTGCTTAGCATTATCCAGAAAGGTACAGGTGGAGGAGGCCAGTACTCAGGGAGAGCGAGGAAGGGAGAGATTGCTGTCACTGAGCTCCCCTAATAGGAGACATGTACACTACATTCCCCAAGCTGCCTTTCTTTCCCAGCTGTTGGAATATTTACCTCATCAGTCTCTCATCTTCTCCTTCCACTTTGTTTTCTTTGCCTCCTCTCTAGCAGGCCCTGTAGTGCACTCACTGTTATGGCCACTAGCTTTGGATTCCTTGTGGTGAGGAATTCAGTTCTGTTTGTGCTTTTGGTCTTTCCTTTTCTTATCTCAGCTAACCATAGGAAGTCACTAGAGTTGTGTGAGCTGGGACTCATTGTTCCTCTTCTCCTACACCCACTGGGACATTCCAGGTGCACTGTAAATTTGTTATCCTGAGAAGATCCACAACTCTCAAAGTGTCAAGAAAAGGAAACAGTAAAACCTCCATGGCCTTATATGTTGGTACCTTGATCTCAAGCTTCTAGGCATGCTGACTTTCTGCAAGTGCATTACCCATGCTGTATAAATAAACAAAATAGAAAATAACAGAAAAAACAGTACTTACCACATTATTTGTTTGAGAAATACTGAACAGCTCTATAGAAGGGATAGTAGTGATCTCAGATTCTTGAAGACTGAATGCATAGTCATAGGTGTTGAAACAATTTCATTCAGGAGCTCCATGCCTACTGGGGAGCAGCTGGTCCACCCGGAAGACTTCTTAGACCAGAAAAGATAGACTAGCTATGTGGAACCATTGATGAATTGCATATGTAAATCTGTGACTCACTCAGCATTAGAGTGTTTGGACATTTGCTTATTTTCTCACCAGCAGTCTTCCTAATTGTCCAAAACTCTTCTCCTGCCTGTCTATTAACCATCAGACTAACCTACTACTATAACATGATCCTCTGAAGCCTGTTTTAAGACTGAACCTCTGGGATTCTGTACCCCTATATCCCAAATCCTGGCTCTAATTAACAGATGTTTAGGAGAAATGACTCAAGACCTTTCTAAAAATCTACCTCAGGTATGATTGGAGTGTTACTAGAATGGGAAAGAATGGATCAAAACTAGATGTATAGATGGAAAGATATTATATTGGTAAACAGCATGTAAATATTGAGAAAATTAAATATATCAAGAGCACTTCTTTAAGTGTGCCAAGTGAGTTGGAAAGAAGGAAAAGCAAAAGCGTCCTTTACCTGCATTTGCCAATACAGGGAATTAGATGACAGACAGCCTCAGCTTTCAAATAGAGGGTGAAATGGAGATTAAGTGTCTCAGAAAAGCAGCATTTTATCAGG